TGGGATTTGGCTGGTTACAGGAAGGGTTTAGGTGTCTTCTTTGTTTGAGTTTTACTTTCTAACAAGAGGGACTGATGTAAATGTATGAGTACTTGCTGCAGAAGAGGTAGACTAAGCTGGGATCCGATAAACCATGCCTCTGCCTCTCTTTTGGAGCTCCCTTTAATCAAGTATGCTGAGGATCATATTTGAACAAGTTGCTGCCTCTTCACCTATAATGTCATAGTCCAGTATTGTGAAACATCTGAGTTCAATCAACAATGAAGGCAGGAAGAGAATACAAGATAAAGTAGTTGTATTTCAATGTGATGTAGATGATCACAATAAGTTTCCTAATTTTTCTTTGTGAGTTTATATGGATGTTTGATCCAGTGAAATGATCAATTGGATTTATATAATGTTCAATTTGATTAGAATGTTGTGAGCATTAAACCTCTTAATTGGGTATGTAAACATTGATGAATTAACTTTTATAGTATCATTCACATGGATGTTCTAAATAACTCTCTAGTTCTTTAAATGTTATTAATATAAGCAAATTATCATTGTTTAAACCAGTTTCTAAAATAAGTCAACGGTAGAAGTCTCTTGATGGTCAAATCCCGTGTCCATTAATACAACTAGTCATGGGAAATGCCGTGGCTATTTTATCTTAAAGTCATGGATTATTACCCGTGATTAATGATTAGTCACGGGACTTTGCCGTGATGATCGAAATCATTTGTCATGGGGTATATCCCGTTGTCAATGATCACCAGCCACGTGATATCCCCGTGACAATTATCCTTTGATCACAGGCATGCTTGACACGGGAATATACCGTGCGAAATGCTTTCCGTCACGGTAATTGGCTCTTTAGTCACGGGAAATCCCGTGATCGAAGGTGAATTTTCTTGTAGTGGGACCATTATGTAAATTAAAAAAATTGTAGGTACGAAAATCTCATAAAATGTAGATACCAAAACATAATTGTTCAATTGGGTGCGATCATACCAGCACTAATGCACCGGATCCCATCAGAACTCCGAAGTTAAACGTGCTTGGGCGAGAGTAGTACTAAGATGGGTGACCTCTTGGGAAGTCCTCGTGTTGCACCCCTTTTCGACTTATTCATAAAAAAAAAAAACATAATTGTTCAATGAATTTAAATTTAAATTAAAATTTAATTTGGGGTATCAAAATGAAAAATGTACATTATATCAACTAAGTTGTGATTTAATTAAATTTTGGGTATAAAAAAAGGTTTTTATGCAATAGTAAACTTACTTCTTGTATTGTACAAACTAAATTTGTACTTTTATGTTATGGTTTATTGGATTCATAGATTGGTTCAAAAGGATTGGTGGATTAAAGTGAAATCTAAACATTGGACCAATATGTAAATTTAAAATATTGTAGGTACGAAAATCTCATAAAATGTAGAAATCAAAACATAATTGTTCAATGAATTTACTTTAAAATTAAATTTGAGGTATCAAAATGCAAAATGTACATTATAATGACTAAATTATGATTTAATTAAATTTGGAGTATCAAAAAGTAAGTTTTTACGCAACAGTAAACTTTGGGCGAGGAGGCGGTTTTCGTTCCCGCCACAAAACCACACGTCAAAAACGCAGTTGCATGGCTGACATAACACAGACCGCCTGCTCAACCAGCGGGTTTAAGTCGGATTTAGGAACCGTCGCTATCCCCGAAGGTTTTAATTGCCGTCCCAGCGGTTTGTGTGTCGTCCCCATCTCCCCACAACCGATATGTCGGCATGCAGGAGTTTCAGGCATGTGGTTTGCATGTCAATTGAAAACCGCCACCCGCTCCGCGGTTCACATTTGACATTTGCCTATAAAAGGTCGTAATGGAAAACTCATAAGTTCACCACTCTATTGATTTAATTAAATTTCCCATACCCATTGACGAGCACTTCTACTATGCTATAAAGTATTGGTGCTTTAATGTACAACTTGAAGTTGTACCATAACATTAAATGTATAAGTTCAGGTTGTACCATAAAAGAATTTGTACCCTTATGTTATGATACAACTTTACAACTTAAAGTTGTACCGTCATATAAATGTACAAGTTCAAGTTGTACCATAAAGAATTTGTACAAAAGAGTATAGGTACAATCTGAAGTTGTACCATAACATTAAAAGTACATTTCAAGTTGTACCATAAAGACAAAAATCTATAGCACCAATGCTATATAGCATTGTAAAATTCCTCCCCATTGACTTGGTTCAAATGGGTTCAATTGTCATAAGCTAATTAATTATAACCCCAGTTCGCAATTCACTAACCCAACGCATAATATTCATTTAATCTTGAAATGGAAATCAATAGTTCTGATTCGTCGAAATTATTTTTTATTTTCATTTTAAGATTAAACGAATCTCATGATTTGGGTTAGAAAACTAGGGACTGGGGTTTATCCATTAGTGGTTAGGGTATATTATCATGCCCAAAACTCCGATAAATTCATGATTTAAATAGCAAAACTCAAATGGGCGTACGGTAGTCTAACGTACGCCTGGGCGTACCCTAGCCTGAATACATATGGTGGCTACTTCGGTGCACTCGCTTTTTTTCTAAAAGTAGCCATAAACATCAAATTTTGAATTTTAATTGGTAGCACTAGTCTAATATGATGATATAACAAAAAATCTCATCTAATCAATCCATTACCTTAACCCCTAAACTTTCAATTTTGAACACCAACCCAAAATCCCAAAATGTGAGCCCTAACCCTAACCCTAAATCCCGAAATCCTCCAAATCAAAGCAAATACTTAATGATTTTTTTGTAAATTAAATGAATCTTTTGACTTGGGTTAGAGAATTAGGGACTGGGGTTCACCCATCAGAGATTTCATATTAGAGTATAAAATCATGGCCCCAACTCTGGTTAATTCGAGCTCTAAATAGTAAAATTTGACGGACGTACAATGTATGACTTACCATTGAAGAGTGAACCCTAGGTCTTACCCATATATATGGGGAGTTCAACAGTACCCAGGGTGAAATCCAGGGTACCGCATACCTTGAGTAAGAAAACGCTATCCAGAACTTGATTTGACTAATCTTTCGGACATGATACTACACTTTAACCCTTAAAGATCAACATCTAGGTCTTAATTCTCTAAATCTTATACCCCAAGATCAATTTAATTTGAAACAATAATTGACGGTTATGATTCGTCCAAATATAGGCAAAAAAATCAATGCACCATCTTAGGGTTTATAGTTATGATTTAGATAATTAGGACCTAGCGTTCACTCATTAGGGGTTAGAGTATAGTATCATGCCCAAAAATCCTGCTAATTCGAGGTCTATATAGCATTTTCATACTCAAGGTATGCGGTACCCCGGATTTCACCCGGGGTACCGTAGAAGGCACCATATATATATGGGTTAGACTGGTGTATACCAGTAATTGTCATTATATGGTGACTACTTCGGTGCATTCACAAAAATGAGTGCGTTCAATGCACCCAACTCAAAAACTAGTCTTAAGGCGTCGAATTTTGAACTTTAATTTGTAGAATTAGTGTAATATGATAATATAACATATGGGATAAATACAATTTAATATCCAAACCTTTCATTTTAAACAATATAATAGCCAAACCTTTTTCGAAAACAATCTAATATCCAAATCGTCAACTTTCCGTTTGTTTGACAGTTAGTTGACACTTCAAAAAAACTTTGTTTAGGCGAAATGGTCACAATACAACTTTGTTTTCTTGTTTTGGCATTGCAGATGACTGAATATTTAGATATTCTATACCATCATGGTGGAGTCATGGACTTCTCAGGTTTGGAACTACGATATGTTCATGGTTTTTCAGAGAAGATATCGATGGATATTGATGAAGTGTCGTACTTCGAACTTTTTTGAAGTGTCAACTAACGGTCAAACATACGGAAAGTTGACGATTTGGATATTAGATTGTTTTCGAAAAGGTTTGGCTATTATATTATTTAAAATGAAAGGTTTGGATATTAAATTGTATTTACCTTAACATATGATAACAACTAATTAGCCGATTACCCTAAGCCCTAGAATTCCAATTTTAGTTCTATCCCTAAACCCCAAATTGTAAATCCTAACCCTAACCCTAAATCTCTAAACTCTAAATCCTTCAAATTAAAGTAAATCTTTAATGATTTTTTTGCAAATTCATGTGCATCACATCATAAGTGATGATTGACATCATTTTGACATAAATCGCATGTTTAAAATGACGGTTATTAAGTGAGTGCACTGAATGCACCCAAAAAAAGTGAATGCACTGAAGACGCCACCATATATATATATTCTGGTTCAGGCTAGCATACGCCCGGGCGTACGTTAGACTAGCGTACGCCCGTTTGAGTTTTGCTATTTAGATCATGAATTTATTGGGGTTTTGGGCATGATACTATACCCTAACCACTAATGGTAAACCCCAGCCCCTAGTTTTCTAACCTAAATCATGAGATTCGTTTAATTTTAAAATGAAAATAAAAAATAATTTCGACGAATCAGAACGGTTGGTTTCCATTTCAAGATTAAATTGATTTTAGTTCCATATAGTTCCATTTAGTTCCATGAATAATAACTGTTGATTTTTGTTTCTAATTAAATTGATTTTCGTGTATGAGATATAAAAAATTAAGACCTAGATTTCAATTTTTAAAGGTTTAAAAATAATACAAGATGTCAAACTCCGGTCAATTCAAGATTTAGATATATTTTTTTTTCTAAAGGTTATACCAAATATAGGAGAACAATGACATTAACACAAACATAGTTGCATTACGATCTTAATTTCCACTGAGATTCTAGATCTCAGACAGTCAAACACAACTTAAAATGCCAGATGATGACAACGCAGCTCGTCGCCTTCGTGGTCTCTTATTTAATCCCATGAAACCAATTTCACGAGTGAGTTGATTGTCATGAGTACTATAGCACTGTAGTACGCGGTAGAAATGCCACTCAAGCATTGAAACCGACCGCTTCAGCAGTATTTATCCAAGGCTTTAGCAAGCTGCTTCCAGACTTCAATATAGGCATGAGGAGGGGCAGCATTCGGATTCGCCAGTTCATAGTGAATGACCCATCCCGACTGTCCAGCTTCCGTGTCCATCTCAATTTTCAGACCAAAACTCTTGTATATCCCCAGCACCTCCCCTTCTATCACCGTCAACGTGAACGACTTCTTCCCTTCTTCTGTGTCGTCCATGGCTTCTTCTTCTAATTCCCACTTGATCTTCGCGCTCATTAACGGGGACCCAGCTGATCGAATTCATCAAGATATATAGAGGATAATTGTAGGAGTTTCAATAAATATGTAGTCAAAACGATTAGCTAGATACAAGTAATTATGGCATCGCCAGAACGACAGTCTTACGGAGGGAATATTGGAAGAGCATTACGGAGCCAGGCCCTGCCTTGCGGCCGCCTCCCACGATCTCAGCGGTCTTGAAAAGGTCAGGGAGCAATTGAGGCAGGGAGGTGAAGCTGTCCCTGAAGAAAGCTGCGATCTTCTCTGGTGATTTCATTGGAGCCTTGGTCTCTAGCTTCTGCAGTTGAGCCATGTAGTCTATTGCTTTGCACTGATATGCTATACAGATAGAATGATGGGTGTGTGAATGAATGATTTGTGGTTGCACGGTGAGGCTCTTCTTATAGAGCTTCGGTCGGCGTACTGCTCCAAGTAGCTAGTAGGGCTGGCCAGCTGCAGTGGCGTAGTCAGGATTTTATGTAAGGTGGGTCCGAATTTTTTTTAATATCCACGTGGTTTACTGAAAATTTTCTTTCAATACTTTCAGTGTAGCCTTAGTTTGTGTCTAAAACCTGATTTATTGAATTCATTATTAGGATAGAAAGGATCTAGTGAGTTTCAACAAAATGAAGCTTTGGCGATAGATAATGGATACATTAAGGATTTGAAGCTTGGAGGTTGAAGTTATATTTTATGCTAATATTATTTATGTAGAAACTAAAATGTATTATATATAATGATGATAGCTAAATTCATGATATATTTATTGTTTGATGGTAGAAATATTGATCAATATTGATGAAATTTAGGTGAAAAATCTCATTGTCACTTAATTATTGTATTAAGGAGTGAAAACCCGTAGCGTACTAGTGGTTCGATAAGAAAAATCTCATGCTGGAAGCGAAATTGATAGAAGATATTAGTGATATAAAATGGTTGAACCATGATTAAACCACATTTTCAGTATAAAATATCCTACCATTGACTTGTCCGATACAACCTTCTACCACTATTAACCTAGACGTACATATTTTCTCCCGATCCAAGGTGGGTCCCGGGACCCACCTTCGTATGCACTGCCTCCGCCACTGGCCGGCTGGCTATTTGGTTCGGGCTTTTTGATTTTACCCGAATCCGGACAGTATAACCCGGAATGAGACTAGATCGGATAGCAAACAATACAATTCAATTTTCGAGCCTAGATTTGAGGTAAAAACCCGTTTGGTACCGGACCGGAAATCGGATAAAGACCGGATAAGAGAGTTCAACACCAAAAAATTTAACCTCCTCATCCTTTAAGCCCTTCAGGCCACTCAAATCCCCCCTCAGGCCACTCAAATCCCCACAAGTTCAATCTAAAATCAAAACCAAATTGGTACCGAACCGGTTCAAGACCGGACTGTATACAATCCAATCTTTGGTCCTTATATTCTCGAAAAGACCAATATGATGATTTTAATATAAATTTTAAATGAACTTAAGTTTTAGTAATAAAGCTATAATTAATCAAAATCGTTCATTGGATTCAAAGGATGATTAATGGGGTTAGCATAACCCCCTAGCATCCGATCCTTTTTGGGAATAGCTCAACATTAATTATTTTACTCCCTACACCGATCTTGCATTGCATGCAGACTTTACTAGATTCGATGCTCCAATAACCAGTGCAAGCTATTCCCAAAAAGGAGTAAAATAATTAATGTTGAGCTATTCCCAAAAAGGATCGGATGCTAGGGGGTTATGCTAACCCCATTAATCATCCTTTGAATCCAATGAACGATTTTGATTAATTATAGCTTTATTACTAAAACTTAAGTTCATTTAAGATTTATATTAAAATCATCATATTTTATTTTCCTTTACCCAACTTCACCTCTCTCTCCTTTCCCTCACTTCTCTCTTCTCCTGATTAATAGAAATTGTATTTTTTTTAAGAGAGGCGTTACGCAAGAAAACGAAAAAAGCAGGAAGATACCCACCATAAACGGTAAAATATATTTAATTGTGATGATTAGCATTTTATAGAAAATACCACAGAGACAGAGGCACTTGATATCAATCACCAAAAGCACTATTTTAATATTTTTTGAAATTACTACAACAGTTGAAAAACACTGTTATCTTCATGTATCACTTACAATGTTAAACAAACGCACTACATACGGAGAGAAATGTAATTGAGGTAGTGAGCCTAAAAATTAGCCTTTTGCATTAAGAAAAAATACATTTGTAGTAGACCATAATATAAATTTATATTTTAAAAAACTGGGTAAAAATTATTATACATTGGTAACTATAAGAATATAACTCTCCGTATACCAAACACTTATTTATGATTAAGTTAGTTTTCGCTTTCGAATGATTTTATTTGTCAAGAAGTACTTGTTTTACAAGGATTTGGAATACTCAGAGCTGTTTTGGAGGCCTATTTAGCTAGGAGCATGGAGCTACAAAGTTTTGGTTACAGTGATGTTATTCTTGGTGTTACTGAAACTACGGCTTGACTCTCAGCCACACCTGTTAAGTTTTTGCGATCATCACACTGAACAAGATCATGGCGAGTAAGGAAGGGGCAGTTGACGATACAACAACGAGTAAGGGACCGAAGGACGATCATGATCACACCTTGGAGCTAGAGAAACAGATAGACCAGATTATCCTGGTTGAGAATGATGAAGAACCCCTAGAGGTAGAGGACTCTGATGTTGATGTTATACAAATGGAAGCTCTCCGTCGGTTAGGGTTGATTGGTCGTCAGGTGTCTGAAAAAGAACAAAATATTAAATCAATGAAAATTGCGTTAGCGAAATCTTGGAAGTTACGAAATGGTTTTCATATTACGGAGCTGGGTGATAAGCTTTTTGCTTTCCAGGGGGGTGATAGCCTCATAGTTTTCAAGGCTAGTACTTTGATTTAGAAGCCAAAACCTGAAGATCTACACATGATTGAGTTATTGATAAGAATTGAAGGGTTCTGAGAAATACGAGAACACAACAAACAATACACAGCGATTTACGTGATATCCTTGCTCGGCATGAGCAAGACTAGTCCACGGAAGACCCGCACAAGGGGTCTTCGGCTAGAGATTCTTATTAGGGTTTTGTGAAAATACACCAAGCTCACACAGGAGCATGCACACGACAGGAAATATATATAGGGGAAGGACTAATGTCCCATAGCATCACTCGACAAGAGGATAATTGCTAAACAGTCCCCCGAACAAACAATAATAAACACTACGTACACAACTCTCTACTTGTACGTAGGTCTAACACTCACCCTCAAGCGCAGGCATGAATATCATGAAGGCCGAGCTTGGACGACAGCAAAGAAAATTGGTCAGCGCCCAATCCCTTCGTGAATATATCGGCAACCTGATCGTGAGTCGAGATCTTCTGCGGCTGTATCTCACCGGATGTCACCCGCTCACGTACAAAGTAGCAATCCATCTCCACATGCTTCATACGTTCATGAAAAACTGGATTGGCAGCAATATGAAGAGCTGCCTAATTATCACAGTGCAGTGGAATGGCCGAAGTGTGCTGTACGCCTAGGTCACCAAGTAGCCACTGAAGCCAAACAAGTTCACTTACAGTGCTAGCCATGGCGTGATACTCCGCTTCAGCAGACGAGCGAGCTACGACGGACTGTTTCTTAGTCCGCCAGTACATAGGGCAGTCACCCAGCTGTATGAAATACCGTGTAGTGGAGCGGCGCGTACTGTGGCAACCGCCCCAATCATCATCACAATAAGCTGTGAAACTGAGCTTACTAGTAGTAGGGAAACGAAGTCCGCGACCAGGCGCCCCCTTAAGATAACGCAGGACGCGGTGAGCTGTAGCTTCATGCTCCTGGCGCGGGGAATGGACTGCCTGGCTCAGGATATTGACAGCATACACGATATCGGGTCTGGTAACAGTCAAATACTGCAACCGACCAACAAGACGACGAAAACCAGAAGGATCGCGAGCAGCAGGACCCTCAATCCTGCCAGTGCTCCAGCGTCTTTTAGGATGTCAAGTTCATACTTCCTCTGCGATAATACCAGACCAGTGCGAGAACGAGCAACCTCGATGCCCAAGAAGTACTTCAGCACACCGAGATCTTTAATGCTGAACTGAGCTTGCAGAAAATCCTTGACTTGCTGAATAGTGTCCATATCATCACCCCCAAGAACAATGTCATCCACATAAATGAGCGCAAATACATATACCCCATTGCGCCGATAAGTAAAAAGGGAGTGGTCAGCTTGAGACTGCCGAAAACCAAACTCCTGCAGTGAGTGAATAAATTTCATATACCAATTACGGGAGGCCTGCTTCAAACCATAGAGGGATTTGCGAAGACGACACACCCGATTGTCCCCCGGTCGAGCAAAACCAGGAGGAAGTTTTATATAGACCTCCTTATCAAGGTCACCGTGAAGGAAGGCATTATTAACGTCGAGCTGATGAAGATGCCAGCCACGATGAGCAGCGACAGCAAGAACGGAGCGAACTGTCACAAGTTTCGCAACCGGGGCGAAGGTGTCATGATAATCAACGCCCTCAACCTGGGTGAAACCCTTGCCAACCAGACGAGCTTTGTACCGTTCAACACTGCCGTCAGGATGAAACTTGATCTTATAGACCCATTTAGAGGAAATTGCACGTTTACCAGGTGGAAAATCAGTCAACTCCCAGGTGTCGTTGGCCTCTAAAGCGGGGATCTCACGCTGCATAGCCTCACGCCAACAGGCCAGTTTAACGGCATCATGAAAGAACTGTGGCTCCACCTATGTGTCAACAACTGACACAAAAACACTATGATTAGCCGACAGACGTGTAAAAGTGACATAAGCAAAAAAAGGGTACTTCATAGCCGCAATATGAGAAGTAGGGAATTGAGTGGCATAACCTTCAAGGCGCACGGAGGGTCGGCGCACTCGTTAACCACGTCTAAGCGGAGGAGGTTGTGGGGTAGGGGCCACTGGCTCTGCAACCGGCAGCGGATGTTCAGCGGAAGGGGGAGGGCTGGGCGCAGGCGTTGCTGGTGAGGGAGGATCCGAGGCAGCACCAGTGTCCACGGAATGTGGGGTGGCAGACGCGGGAGATGCGCCATCACAAGGGGCAGCAGCTTCAGAAACTGATGGAGAGGTACAGTCCGGGGATGGAGACAACATAAGGGTCTCCGGAACAGCAACCACGAGGTCATCGTCATCATCGTCGCTCGCGACAGAAGGAGGAGCTGGCGCGATATAGGTGAAATGTCACTAGTCAAGGAGTGAAAAGGAAATGTCGTCTCCTCAAATACGACATCACGAGAAGTAAAAAG